GCTTGGTTGCCGAGTTGAAATACCCGGACAGACGAGCACACACACACACACAAACATACACACACATACACACATAGATATACACACAGACGGGGTCGTCTCAATATGCGCTTTTGCAATTTGCATGTAGGCAAAAACGCATAAAAAGGCCTGTAAGAAATTCACCAATGCGTTGGTTAGATCCGCTGACTCGATTATATGAAGTACTGTCGATGAGACGAGCTTAGGATAGAAATCGGTGACGTGGTTGTCGGCTCAGTCACTGCAGATCAACAGCACGTCAGTGATGGAAACGCCGTATCAAGATCAATTTCCCCGTCCAAGTATGGCTTAATGAATTCAAACCCAGCCCCAGGTGCGTGTAATTCTGCTCGTGAACATTTTTTCACGGATAAGTTGCCAACTTGGAAACCCGAGACCACGTTTGCTTTAATTTGTTTCTTTGCAGTCCTGTTTCTTTTTACGGTTATTTCCATTTTTTGTCTTTACTGAATTGTATCCTCGTTCCTCGTCTTTACTCCGTCCCCAACCCTGCTTGCAAAGCAACAACTGAGCTCCTCTCCATCCTCACTACAGCAGCACTCTGGAAACAAGCAATATTTCACCCTTTCCCTACCCGGCGTATCTACAGCAAACCCAGGCTGGAACGCACCAGGCGGGCCGGTGCGATTATGCGTTTTTGCATTTTTCGTGCCGTTGCAAGATCACAAGGAATCACAGTAGCTAACCTTGTGACATACTGGCCCTAGAAGTTCGGGAAGTTAATAGTGCAAGTTTGTGGTATGTCAGTTGTAGATGTCGACTTCAGTGACCCGACAAATGGAAAGTTGCTAGTCCGCAAAAAAAGGCCACACTAGAAGAGTTAAATTTGAAATCTTTTAGTCGCACATGAGTAGGGAACATTCCCATAAAATTAAAGCCTTCAGCTTTTCCCGTTCCCGAGCTAGCAGTTTTCCCATCAAAATTTTCACGTGTCCGTACGTGAGTATCGGACGGTTTTAGGGAGTTGAATTTGAAATCTTTTGGTTATACATGAGTAGGAAACATTACCCTAAAGTTTCAGCTTTCTAGCTTTTTCCGCTCCCGGGTTAGTGATTTTCGCGCCAAAACTCCCACGTGCCCAAAAGTGGGCCCCGAGCGCTTCTAAACACCTGATTTGGCTCGTACATAAGTAGGAAACATTCCCTAAAGTTTCAGCTTTCCAGCTTTTTTCGTTCCCGGGTTAGTAATTTTCGTGCCAAAGTTTCCACGTGCCCGTACGTGGGTCCCGGGCGGTCCTAAGGAGCTGATTTTGAAAACTTTTGGTCGTGCGTGAGTAGGGGACAGCAACCCAAAGTTTCAACTTTCTAGCTTTTCTCATTCTCGAGTTATGGATTTTCCCGCCATAATTTCCAATTGCCCCTACGTAAGCCCGGGCAGTCCTGGGCAGCTGAATTTGAAATGTTTTTGTCATACACGGGTAGGGAACATTAGCCTAAGGTTTCAGCTTTCTAGCTTTTCTCGTTCCCGAGTTATCAGTTTTCCCGTCAAAGCTTTCACGTGCCCGTACGCGGGGCCTGGACGTGC